TTGAGTATATTCTTGTAGAGGAAATCAAGTAGATCATTTCTAGAAAAAACCCGAACTCAATATTCATATTCTATCGAGAGAAAAAAAAGCCGCGAAAAAATCCGCAATAATTATGCATCAACCTAATATTTCTCCCAAGAAAACCTGGTTCAAGACATGTCTTCCTGATAACTCTCTGACCTGTTTTTATGACGATCTGGATTCCGAATCTCGTGTTCTCCTAATGAACGATGAACGTGGTCAAAAAGGTACATACAATTGTTGCCGTCACCTTCGCACTTGTGATTGAACGGCTGGTTCCATAATTGTCCTGAACATCGCTGGAGATCCTGCCGAGCCAACTCGAGACACGACTAGCTCATTCAAGACGGATTTCAAAGTCCGTGAATGTGTTACACAGTGATACGAAGACACATACAAGCACTTCCAAACAGTCGTCACATAAACGACGCCCCGGGTGAAGCCTAGGAGTGGGTGGTGAAGCACTAGGGGGTTACTGTATCACACGTTCACGCGACATTTAAATCCCTCTACTATCTCTATCTGCACAAAGTGAATTTGACTTTTAATCACTTGCATGATCACATCACTTTCCAGAGTTCATAAGACTCTAACCCTTTCTAGGCTTTTCCAAAACACTTCACAACTGGTTCCAAGCACTTTCGAAGCTGAGAAACGTGGTTTTTATCAGCACTTCCGCAATTTGTCACCGGTTCTTTTCTGCTATCCACCATCAAGAAATCTCTGGAAACTTCACTAAGAACACAGAGATTGTTAGCCATAAACTTCAACGTTGAAGGGTATACCCTGCCGTTCGAGCCTGAAGCGTCGGAAGGGTCTGCTTAAATGTAGTTTCTTTGTCTTTTGTCGAGATTTGTAGTCACCTATAGCTCCTTCATTCTAAAAGGAAGATGAGACAGCACGATCATGCAACGATGAGGCTCACTGAACAGTGAAAGCATAGAAGGTGTATAATATACTGGTACAGGAGGCGAAATTTTAATTTAGGTCTATACACAAATTTTCAAGAGGTATGCAAATCGAGAGATATGTCAGAGCCGCTGTTACTGCTCCGGCATACCTCTCAAGTTGCGATTGCGATTCACATGTATTGGGAAGCGCCAATTAGCCATCGATCATAATGAAGCTGGCTGAAGTCTCTGGCAGCATTATTAACTTTGCACATTCATGTTTTCCATCACGTCTTTTAGTGAGAAACGGTACAAGCTCAATCCCAGAATTGGTTGTATTGCTTTTGAAAAATTCCTTACGACGAAACAAACGCTGCCTATGTTGCGAATCAAAATCCGGTCATTCTATCCACAACCGATGTATTTTACAAGCACTACTTTAACCTCCCCTTCCCCTACGTGCCCATCGCCTTTTCGAGAAATAGTCTACAAATATTTTCTTCAGATCCTCGAAATACTTGGAAAAGGATCATTTGGAGCCGTGTTCCGAGTACGTCGTCTTAGTGATGACAAGAAGCTGGCGATGAAATGCGAGTCGTACTGGGCTAGAAGAAAGGTAGAACAGCTCAAGAACAATTTTTACTAATACATGTAAGGCGCTCGCACCTGTCTGTCTGTCTGTCTGTTGCACGGAAATTCATAACTCCTGTCCCCGTCGACCAAGAAAGTTCAAATTTGCGCGGAAGTCGACAATTTAACCCTAGGGCGTTCCAGCTCGGTAGGGTTACAGAAGTCCGGTTGAGAACACTTATGGTGGGCGGCAGGACCAGACCTCGCCTACAAGAGGTGGAGTTCCCCATGGGAGTAGAGGAGGCAGGGTGGGAATCTGACGATGAAAGAGGCCCCAGAAAACAAGATCCAGTCACCAATTGAATCCAACGCTTTTGTTACAGACGATCTAGCCTTGACTCTTTGAAAGGTTCCATTCGACAAGAAGGGAAGTGCAATGATAGGGACCGACTAAGAGCACTAATTTTTGAGGAGATGAAAATTGATCATTTCTTGTTAATGGGTTACGACCGCTACCCAGCAAGGTTTGCGACTCAATGTTTCTCTTCGCTTCTATTTCATTTTTGGCGAAACTTATCCGACCGCTGATAAACTTGAGTTCTCATTCAACCAGTCGAATCGCCCAGCTAACGCCGGGCTCTCCTCCTTCTTATGTAATGCCCGGCTACGCCGGGTATCCTCCTTCTTATGTAGTAGGGACAAAGATTGGTACAAACAAACAGGGATTTATTTTCGATGAATATAACATGAAACTGTTTCATTCTAATAATGACTTCCTGGGATAGTGCTTGGTCAGGGGATGATACAGAAAGTCGCTAAGGAAGCATACCAATCTAGGGCCTCCGTTCTAATCACAACCTCACTGGTTTTATAAGGACGCTAATTTACTCCGATACCACCTCCTTCAGAACGAATAGAAAGCAATTCCAGAGAGCACTGTCCGATCTGAAAAGAGTGGAGCTTGCTTTCTCGGATAGTGCTTGGTTAGGGAACGCTCCATGCCATCAGGGGTTGCCCATAACATAACATCGTCATCTCCATCCGGCGAACCCCGTCCACTCCAGGGATTCGGCCATTCTCCCCCTGATACCTCCAGCCACTTCTTTCCCGTTTCTAGGACGTTTTTGAATAGACTCATAAATATTCGATTTTGGCCTCGCCCCCCCCCCCCCCTTAGG